CAGATTTAACTGGTTGAACAATGGGTGTTGCACTGATGATATCAGTTTTCTTGCTTCTAGCAGGTAAGCTAAGCGATGCTAAACTTACTGTTGATTTCCCAATGTTTTTAATACCTACAAGTTGTGGGTTCAGTGAATACTCTGAGTGCATGTCTGGCAAACGTTTTTCTTAAAAGAACCCCACAATTTCTCTCTGATTCTTCCCCTCTTGACTCAGCATTTGGTTATCCTCACAGTATATGGAATAGCACACTTGCATCATTCCATTTAAAATCATTCAGTTCTGAAAAAGGTCCTAAAAACATTAAGGAACATTATTGAGGCTAGATTTGTGACACTTTTAGCAATATCATTAAAAATGACTGCATTAAAAAAATATTCACACAGAAGGAATAACAGGTAAAGGTTGCCATATATCAAAATGTGGCTAACGGTGATACCTTTATTTGCCATAATTAATTTTGGCAAAACATTTATACAGCATGGTCATAAGTTTACCTAGGCTGCACCGTTAAAGTTTCAATACTTGAACTATGTCATATCTCATGACATTGCTTGTTATAGAAAAAATGTGCTAAACAACAATTATATTTCACTAGCTTGACCCACGTCAAGCTAGTGAAAGTGCAGCTAGAAAGTGCAGCTAGAGCTGCACTATAAGGACTAAAGAGCCGCAGGTTCGACCCTGACCTAGGAGAACAAAAAAAAGCAAAGAAAAAAAAAGCACATGTTTTATAAGAATAACTCGAGTCAACTACAGCATTATACAGAAACAATCCATATGTCCCAATCAGGGCAACTTGGAAGTCCCGTTGCATTCCAACATACGACTTTGGTTCCTAAGATCACAAAAGAACTCAAATGCCTCCTAATACTGATAACCTGATTAATAGAAAGTAGTCAAGAAAATGGAATTTACTGAACATAGAAAGGGATATATATGTGTGTACAACAAACAGGAAGAATTTATTTGGAAAAATGAAAAATTTCTGGAAAAAAGCAAATAATCTTTTGGCAGTTGGAGAATAAGGGATGCAAAAAATGTATGTCAAAACAACTAGAATAACTATCACATGTTGCAAAACCACGACAGCTGCACCAACAACGATGATGGCAAATTCACCAACCACAATGGACACAACAACATCCATGACTGCAGCTCCAACAACCACAGAAGCAGCTCCAACAACTACAACAGCTGATACAACCACCACTGCAGGTACAACAACCACGACTGGAGCTCCAACAACAACAACAGCCGCTCCAACAACCAGCACTGCAGCTCCAACAACCACAACAGCAGCCCCAACAACCACAACAGTAGCACCAACAACCACAACTGCAGCTCCAACAACCACGACTTCAGCTCCAACTACCACAACATCGGTAACAGCAGCCACGACTGCAGCTCCAACAACCACAACTGATGCTCCAACGATCACGACTGCAGCTCCAACAACCACAACAGCCGCACCAACAACCACGATTGCAGCTCCGACAACCACAACTGCCGCCCCAACAACAACGACAGCCACACCAACAACCAAAACTGGAGCTCCAACAACCACGACTGCAGCTGAAACAACCACAACAGCCTAACTTTTGTTTGCATTTTCTAATACTCACCAGAAGTTACTGATATTGTCTCAGGAACTATTTGGATGGTGAAATTAATGCTGGAACTGTTAATAGCATCTCTTAAAGCTTGAACAATAGTAATATTATCTGGGACTTGTGCATTGGGAATTGTTTGATTGAACACAAGCTCCACCAATGCCTCAGTTCTATCCACTCGTTTTTGGACTATAACAGATCTGTGTCATGAAAGAGAGTGAGTCAGATGTTAGATGTCACTTTTAACATTCAATATGAAATTTAATAAATAAGTAATTGAGGAAAGTAACTTAATTACTGTTAAAAAAATCTTTTTTACCTGAACCGAATGACAATGGCACGGATGAAGTAAGGAAATTTTGCTTTGTATATTCTATCACACTGCAAAAAATTAACACAAAAAGAAAATTTAAACATGGTGAAACAACTTCAAAATTACATTATCTAAAAACCCTTATTTAAAATATATGATTTGAAATACATATATCTTTTGCTTCTAGATTTGTTCTCTTGATACTGTTTCAGTCAACATGTAATTTGTATTAGGTTCAAATATTACTCACCGTCTCTTCAACTCGTTTTTTGCGATCTTGATATGTACTGCTGTTGGGGTCTTCGAGATCAGGTACATATGGTTCAAGGAACTGTAGAAACAGAGTAATTTGGACAGGTCCAGTTGGTGCTTTTGTAGTTGGGATAGTGGTTGGAGTTGCTGCAACTGTTGTTGTAGTTGCAGTTGTTTCTAGTGGAGTGGCTGTTGTTGGAGCAGTGTCACTGATGTTGATGGAGGCCCTTTCGATGTCAAAGCCGCTCACATTTGAGGCTTGACCGATCAAAACATTCCTAATATCAGTGTAATTTGGGACAGAAAAGTTTACAAACTGAAGTTCCATGGTGTTGATGACTGATCCCTTCCTGCAAATGCAGAAGCACAAGTTATTGTTTTGAATATTAGCTTTTTAGATCAGTGCCCTACATGATATGTCAAAATATGTAAATTACCTGAAGCTCACCACATCCAAGGAGACAAAGGAAAAGGGGAAGGCCTTTCTGTAAACAGGTTCAATCTACACACACAAAAGAGATTTTCTTAAAACTATTTTTTCTGTTGTATTTTTTTAATTTATTAAAGGGCATTAACCTAATACTAAGAGGAAATTAATTTCACAAAGGATTTTGGGAAAAACAGTTACTGACCTGTGTCTTTATCACTAAAGATCGACTTGTAAAGGCTGCAGATGATGAATTCAACAAGTCTGTTTCAAATTTGCTCTGAAGTGATCTGAATGTGACATATCTCATTACTGTATCCCTGCCAGTTGTTGGAGGGATTGTTGTGTTTTGAACTGCTGTTGTGGTTGATGAAGGCGAGGTCATGGTGAATGGAAGGTCAGTGGTGGAGGGCGGGGTTTTGGTGGTTGATGGGGAAGGGGCCGTCACTGTTGGAGGTGCAGTCGTGGTTGTTGTTGCGGCTGTTATGGTTGTCAGAGATGCTGTTCTGGTTGTTGGAGCTGTGGTTGTTGGTGTTGCTGTTCTGTTTGTTGGAGCTGCAGTAATGGTTGTTGGTGCGGTGGTTATTGATGTTGGAACTGTAGTTGTGGTTTTTGGAGCAGGTGCTGTGTGTTGGTGGACTGATTCTGTTGTTGGGCTTATGGTTGTTGGTGCGGTGGTTATTGATGTTGGAACTGTAGTTGTGGTTGTTGGAGCTGCTGTTGTGTTTGTTGGAGCTGATGTTGTGTTTGTTGGAGCTGCAGTTGTGGTTGTTGGTGCAGCTGTTGGTGTTGGTGCGTGGTGTTGTGGTTGTTGGAGCTGCAGTTTGTGGTTGTTGGAGCTGCAGTCGTGGTTGTTTGTGCTGTTTGGTTGTTGGTGCTTGTTGTGGTTGTTGCAGCTGTGGTTGTGGTGCGGCTGTTTGTGGTTGGTGCTGCATGTTGTGTTGTTGTGCTGCAGTTGTGGTTGTTGGAGCTGCAGTTGTGGTTGTTGGTGCAGCTGTCGTGGTTGTTGGCTGCAGTCATGGTTGTTTGTGCATGTGTTGTGGAGCTGTGTTTTGTTGGAGCTGCAGTCTGTTGTGGTTGTTGGAGCTGCAGTTGTGGTTGTTGGAGCTGCTGTTGTGGTTGTTGGAGCGGGTGTAGTGGTTGTTGGAGCTGAAGTCGTGGTTGTTGTGTGCTGGGGTTGTTGTGCTGTGTTGTGGTTGTTGGAGCTGCAGTTGTTGTGTGGCCTGTTGTGGTTGTTGGTACGGCTGTTGTGGTTGTTGGTGGGGCTGTTGTGGTTGTTGGAGCTCAGTTGTGTGTTGTGTGTTGTGGTGCTGTGTGGTTGTTGGTGCACCTGTTGTGGTTGTTGGAGCTGCAGTTGGTTGTTGGTGCTGTTGTGGTTGTTGGTGCTGCTGTTGTGGTTGTTGGAGCTGCAGTTGTGGTTGTTGGTGCAGCTGTGTTGGAGTTTGAGCTGCTGTTGTGGTTGTTGGTGCGGCTGTTGTGGTTGTTGGAGCTGCAGTCGTGGTTGTGGGTGCGGTTGTTGCTGTTGTTGGAGCTGCAGTGTGGTTGTGGAGCTGTTGTGGTTGTTGTGAGCTGCAGTGTTGTTGTGCTGTTGTGGTTGTTGGTGCTGCTGTTGTGGTTGTTGGAGCTGCAGTCGTGGTTGTTGGTGCAGTTGTTGTGTTGTTGGAGCTGCAGTTGTGGTTGTTGGCGTGCTGTTGTGGTTGTTGGAGCTGCAGTTGTGGTTGTTGGAGCTGCAGTTGTGGTTGTTTGTGCTCCAGTCGTGGTTGTTGGAGCTTCAGTTGTGGTTGTTGGAGCGCTGTTGTGGTTGTTGGAGCTGCAGTTGTGGTTGTTTGCGGCTGTTGTGGTTGTTGGAGCTGCAGTTGTGGTTGTTGGAGCTGCAGTTGTGGTTGTTGGTGCGGCTGTTGTGGTTGTTGGAGCTGCAGTTGTGGTTGTTGGTGCGGCTGTTGTGGTTGTTGGAGTTGTTTGTTGGTGCTGCAGTCGTGGTTGTTGGTGCGGCTGTTGTGGTTGTTGGAGCTGCAGTTGTGGTTGTTGGTGCGGCTGTTGTCGTTGTTGGAGCTGCAGTCGTGGTTGTTGGCAGTCTGTGGTTGTTGGAGCTGCAGTTGTGGTTGTTGGTGGCTGTTGTGGTTGTTGGTGCTGCAGTCGTGGTTGTTGTGCTGTTGTGTTGTTGGACCTGCAGTCGTTGTTGTGGGCTGTTGTGTGTAGGAGCTGCAGTCGTGGTTGTTGGGCTGTTGTGGTTGTTGGTGCTGCTGTTGTTGTTGGAGCTGCAGTCGTGGTTGTGGGGCTGTTGTGGTTGTTGGAGCTGCAGTCTGGTTGGTGCCCTGTTGTGGTTGTTGGAGCTGCAGTCGTGGTCGTTGGAGGCTCTGTTGTGGTTGTTGGTGCTGCTGTTGTGGTTGTTGGAGCTGCAGTCGTGGTTGTGGGTGCGGTTGTTGCTGTTGTTGGAGCTGCAGTTGTGGTTCGTGCTGTTGTTGTTGTTGGAGCTGCAGTTGTGGTTGTTGGAGCTGCAGTTGTGGTTGTTGGAGCTGTTGTGGTTGTTGGTGCTGCTGTTGTGGTTGTTGGAGCTGCAGTCGTGGTTGTTGGTGCGGTTGTGGTTGTTGGAGCTGCAGTTGTGGTTGTTGGAGCTGCAGTTGTGGTTGTTGGTGCGGCTGTTGTGGTTGTTGGAGCTGCAGTTGTGGTTGTTGGTGCTGGTGTGGTTGTTGGCGGCTGTTGTGGTTGTTGGTGCTGCAGTCGTGGTTGTTGGTGCGCTTGTGGTTGTTGGAGCTGCAGTTGTGTGTTGGAGCGGTTTCTGTTGTTGGAGCTGCAGTTGTGGTTGTTGGAGCTGCAGTTGTGGTTGTTGGAGCTGCAGTTGTGGTTGTTGGTGCGGCTGTTGTGGTTGTTGGAGCTGCAGTTGTGGTGTTGGAGCGGCTGTTGTGGTTGTTGGAGCTGCAGTTGTTGTTGTTGGAGCTGCAGTTGTGGTGTGGTTGGAGCAGCTGTTGTTGTTGGTGGCTTGTGGTTGTTGGACTTGCAGTGTGGTTGTTGGAGCTGCATTGTGTTGTTGGTGCGTGTGGTTGTTGGAGCTGCAGTTGTTGGTTGTTGGCGGCTGTTGTGGTTGTTGGAGCTGCACTTGTGGTTGTTGGAGCGCTGTTGTGGTTGTTGGAGCTGCAGTTGTGGTTGTTGAGCTGCAGTTGTGGTTGTTGGAGCTGCAGTAGTGGTTGTTGGTGCGGCTGTTGTGGTTGTTGGAGCTGCAGTTGTGGTTGTTGGAGCTGCAGTTGTGGTTGTTGAGGCGGCTGTTGTGGATGTTGGAGCTGCAGTGTGGTTGTTGGTGCGGCTGTTGTGGTTGTTGGAGCTGCAGTTGTGGTTGTGAGCTGCAGTTGTGGTGTTGGTGCGCTGTTGTGGTTGTTGGAGCTGCAGTTGTGGTTGTTGGTGCTGCAGTTGTGGTTGTTGGAGGTCAGTTGTGGTTGTTGGTGTGGCTGTTGTGGTTGTTGGAGCTGCAGTCTGTTTGTGCGCCTGTTGTGGTTGTTGGCGCAGTCGTTGTTGGTGGTTGTTGGAGCTGCATTGTGGTTGTTGGCGGCTGTTGTGGTTGTTGGTGCGCTGTTGTGGTTTTTGGATATGTAGTTGTGGTTGTTGGAGCTGCAGTTGTGATTGTTGTTGCGGCTGTTGTGGTTGTAGCAGCTGTTGTGGTTGTTGGTGCTGTTGTGGTTGTTGGAGCAGCTGTTGTGGTTTGTTGGCTGTTGTGGTTGTTGGAGCTGCAGTCGTTGTTGTTGGGCGGCTGTTGTGGATGTAGGAGCTGCAGTCGTGGTTGTTCGGTTGTCTGTTGTGGTTGTTGGAGCTGCAGTCGTGGTTGTTGAGGCGGCTGTTGTGGTTGTTTGTGCTGCTGTGGTTGTTGGAGCTAGTTGGTTGTTGGTGCGGTGTTGTTGTTGTTGGAGCTGCAGTCGTGGTTGTGGGTGCCTGTTGTGGTTGTTGGAGCTGCAGTTGTGGTTGTTGGTGCGGCTGTTGTGTGTTGGTGCTGCTGTTGTGTTGTTGGAGCTGCAGTCGTGGTTGTTGGGTGCGGTTGTTGTGTTGTTGGAGCTGCAGTCGTTGTGTTGTGAGCTGCAGTTGTGGTTGTTGGAGCTGCAGTTGTCTTTGTTGGAGCTGCAGTCGTTGTTGTTGAGGCGGCTGTTGTGGATGTTGGAGCTGCACTTGTGGTTGTTGGAGCGGCTGTTGTGGTTGTTGGAGCTGCAGTTGTGGTTGTTGGAGCTGCAGTTGTGGTTGTTGACGGCTGTTGTGGTTGTTGGTGCTGCAGTCGTGGTTGTTGGAGCTGCTGTTGTGGTTGTTGGAGCTGCAGTCGTGGTTGTTGGGAGCTTAGTTGTGGTTGTTGGCGCTGTTTGTGGTTTGGTGCGTGTTGTGGTTGTTGGACGCTGTTGTGGTTGTTGGAGCTGGTTGTGGTTGTTGGCTGCAGTTGTGGTTGTTGGAGCTGTTGTGGTTGTTGGAGCGGCTGTTGTGGTTGTTGGAGCTGCATTGTTGTGGTTGTTGGAGCTGCAGTTGTGTTGTTTGAGCTGCAGTTGTGGTTGTTGGTGCAGTCGTGGTTGTTGGTGTCTGTGGTTGTTGGTGCGGCGTTTGTGGTTGTTGGAGCTGCAGTTGTGGTTGTTGGTGCGGCTGTTGTGGTTGTTTTAGCTTAGTCGTGGTTGTTGTGCTCAGTTGTGGTTGTTGGAGGTTCTGTTGTGGTTGTTGGTGTGGCTGTTGTGGTTGTTGGAGCTGCAGTCGTGGTTGTTGAGGCGGCTGTTGTGGTTGTTGGAGCTGCAGTCGTTGTTGTTGAGCGGCTGTTGTGGATGTTGGAGCTGTTGCGGTTGTTGGAGCTGCTGTTGTGGTTGTTGGAGCTGCAGTTGTAGTTGTTGGAGCGTGTGTAGTGGTTGTTGGAGCTGCATTCGTGGTTGTTGATGTTGTGGTTGTTGGTGCGGCTGTTGTGGTTGTTGGTGGCTGTTGTGGTTGTTGGAGCTTGCAGTGTTGTTGTTGGTGCGTCTGTTGTGGTTGTTGGAGCTGCAGTCGTGGTTGTTGGTGCAGCTGTTGTGGTTGTTGGAGCTGCAGTCGTGGTTGTTGGCGGCTGTGTGTGTTGGGTTGTTGTGGTTGTTGGAGCTTCAGTCGTTGGTTGTGGGTGCGGTTTTGGTTGTTGGAGCTGCAGTCGTGGTTGTGGGCGCTGTTGTGGTTGTTGGAGCTGCAGTCATGGTTGTTGGCGTGTGTTTGTTGTTGCAGCTGTTGTGGTTGTGGGGGCTGCTGTTGTGGTTGTTGGAGCTGTGTTGGAGCTGCAGTGTTTGTTGGCTGTTGTGGTTGTTGGAGCTGCAGTCGTGGTTGTTGGAGGGTCAGTCGTCGTTGTTGTTGGCAGTTGTGGATGTTGGGCTTGTGTTTGAGCTGCAGTCGTGGTTGTTGGAGCTTGTTGTGGTTGTTGGAGCTGTTGTTGTTGTTGTGGCTGTTGTGGTTGTTGGAGCTGCAGTCGTGGTCGTTGGAGGTACAGTCGTCATTGTTGCATCTGTAGTTGGAGCTGTAGTTGTCGTAGTTGGATAAGTATCACTGACAGTGATGGAGTCTGTGTCAATGTCAAAACCTGTCACAATTGAAGCTTGATTGATCAAAACATCTCTAATCTCAGTGTCATCTGGAACCGGTGACTCAAATT